CCCCTCCAAGTGAAAGCAAACTGTGGCCTGCACTCTGCTGCCAAAGGGATTGAGAAAAACGCATTAGCGATATCAATTGTGGCACACCACTTGGCTGCCTTTGACTCCAGTTCATGTTGGAGCTCTAGCATGTCCAGTATGGCAGCACTCAGTGGTGGCGTGACTTCGTTCAGGCCACGGTAGTCCACTGTTAGCCTCCACCCTCCATCAGACTTTAGCACTGGCCATATGGGACTATTAAAGGGTGAGCGAGTCTTGCTGATCACTCCTTGGCTCTCCAAGTGATGAACCAGCTCATGGATGGGAGCCAGGGAGTCTCGGTTTGTGTGATATTGTCGCCGGTGCACCGTCATGGTAGCAGTCGGCGCCTGCTGTTCTTTGACCCTCAGCAACCCCACAACAGAGGGATTCACCGAGAGGCCAGACAGGGTAGACAGATGTTTAATCTTCTCTGTATTCACGGTGGCTACACCAAAAGCCCATTGGTACCCTTTTGGATCCTTGAAATACCCTCTCCTGAGGTAATCTATGACAAGGATACAAGGGGCCTCTGGGCCAGTCACAATGGGGTGGCTTTGCCACTTGTCCCCTGTTAAGCTCACCTCAGCCTCCAATACAAACAATTGTTGGGATCCCCCTGTCACTCCAGAGATCCAGATGGGTTCTGTGCCCCTGTATGCTGATGGCACCAGCGTACACTGTGCAGCAGTGCCTACCAAAGCCTTATACTTCTGTGGGTCTGATGTGCCAGGCCATCGAATCCACACAGTCCAGTATACCCAGTCATCCCTTTCCTCCTGGCCAGAGGCAGGGACCCTCTATTCCTGTTCCTGGTCAGAGTATTCACTGTCTGACCCTTTCAGTGCCAGACCAGAGGTCCCCTCACCAGGATTAAGGGAGGTGATCTCAGTCCTTTTTCTATGTCTGGGAGATCACTGATTGCCTTCTTGTGCCTCAACAGCAACTAAGCTGACAGCCTTCTTGGGTGGCCCCTTCTTAGCAGCTGTCTTCCCACTCAGTTCACGTACACAGGCTTCCAGCTTAAAGGTGGGTTCACCATCCCACTTCCTCATGTCCTCTCCCTGGTCACGCAGGAAGAACCAGAGTGCACCACGCGGCATGCACCTCGAGGGGACTGACTCCTTGGGGTGCTCCTGACAGCCAAGGCGCTGGCCCATGGGGATGAGGGACAGAGATTTTCTTCATTTTTCTTCCTCACCTCACCCTTCTCAACTAATGGTTGCAATGAAAGTTAAGGGTGAATTAGGTGGCAACTCCTGCAGTGTTTTGGGGCAGGAGGAAAGGGGGAGGAAGGGAGAGTTAGCAGAACATACAGACATTTAAATTGTTTATAAACATCTTACAGATACATACTTAGCATAAGGCTTCTATGTTAAGTGGCACTATTGATTAACAATGAAATAATTTACAAAGCACTTAAAGAAGCTTGCCACCACATATCCTTCTGTACTGGAGGCTCAACAGAAATAAACCACAAAGATGGAGGAGCGCTCAGGAGAGCACTTAGGCTTCAACGAAAGGATGCTTCTGTGATGTATGGGGTAACCACCACGCTAGGAAAAAAAATCAGCAGAGCACGAGAGCATATTTTGAACATATGCACCACTGTTTGATCACACCAAGCTAAATGGTCCTGTAGAGACTTTGAGAGAGCAAGTCAGAGCAGACAGGTATCTACCCAAAATACATACGGTCTAGATGAACAGCCTAAGTTGCCTGAAGTCAGACAGCATTCACACTCTTCCCTTCAAGAGTTTTGCTCCAAAAGCACGTACAGCTCCTCACTGCAGGGTAGTTACAGGATTAACCACAGCCTGTTAAACCAAAAAGCTCTACACAATAATCTCATGTAAATCATCTCATTTGGCATGCCAAGTTGGAGGATCTTTGGAGTTTTTTGGCTAAGAAGGATATGGCCTTGCCTCTTCTGTTCTCAGGTTCACTACTTCAGAGAACTCTTTGGAAGAAAAAAAAAAAACAAACCACCACCATCAAAACAAAAACTTAAATGCTTTTCCCCCTCTGCTGCTTATGGATCTAGAGCTGGGAATTTGTACAAGAAAACTCAGTGTCAAATATAGCAAAATCAAGGCAGCTATAAGGAGTTGGAGAGACAAACATAAGGGTGCAGCTTTAGTAAATATGTGGTTTCCACTGTAGAAGTACCATTGCGTCTGTCTTGCATCAACTGTTGAAAGAATATTTGATATTATACAATCCAATCACAAAGGAATTAAAATGATAAAATAAATTCAAATTTAAAGAATAATCAAAGTTGCCAAACGAAAACTGGAAATGCCTATTTTACCTGATACTTTGGAGTGCCTCCTCCTTTGCTAGTAACATTTATTTTTACTTCCTCCCCCAAGAACATCCGACAATATTCAGAGTCTTTCTCCAGAACATAGGCAGTTGCTTCAATTACATCTTCAACATGGAAAATCTTTAGTGAAAAATTCACAAAAGAAATATGAGGCACATCAAAGACTAATCAGCAGCTTTTGTTCTCATACTGGATTCACGTGGCAAGGTTTTGGTAGCGGGGGGCTACAGGGGTGGCTTCTGTGAGAAGACACCAGAAGCTTCCCCTATGTCCGATAGAGCCAATGCCAGCCAGCTCCAAGAGGGACCCGCCGCTGGCCAAGGCCGAGCCCATCAGGGATGGGG